TGAACTCTTAGAGGAAAACATAGGAGAAAAGCTTCTATACCTTGTGTTAGGAAAAATGGCTTACATGCCTAAGAGAATAAATTGATAAACTCAGCTTCATTAAACTGAAAATATAAACAACTGCTCCCCAAAGAGACTTGTTAAGTGAACAAAAAAGACAAAGCAGAGATTAGGAGATAATATTTGCAAAAATTAGTAATAAATTTTAACATTGCCCACTTGTTAGACATCACACATAGTCCTCAGGGCTTAACGTATTTTTTTGTAGAGAGACCACATAACATATACGTCCTGAAGTGTATGTATCAAAATCATAAAATATAAAAGCTCTACAGGTATTCAGTAATTTGAAAGGATTAAGATGAGAAGCCTAAATCGAGTGCAGACTGTCAGCACTCACCAAATTTTCTCTCTTCCCATTTTTTTCTGGCTTTTAATGTAAGAAATGTTTTTGAAAATTCACCTACTTCTAATGCCTTAAAAACAAATCTCCCAAATAAGGCACTTTTGACGACCACATCTGCCCATCCCGATTCAATGTTTAAGGTCCTCTTCTTATTTGCCTTTTCTAAGACCGAGGACACCAAGAAGTCGTCGGTGTTTCCTAGATGCACACCAGCAACCCTGGCACAGGTGAGTGTGCATGTGCCTGATAAGAGCATCCTTGAACTTGAATTGTAATTCCCCAGCTCACTCTTGGAGCAAGGGACATTCCCACCAGAGAGTCCATATTGGGTCCCAGTGCCCTGCAAGAATGCATGCATCTCTTGTGACCACTTCTGACATCTCGAGGGAAGTAGGCATGGGAACAGGTGTTTCTGTGTGTCTGGCCCACCTGCTGGTCCCTAGTAGGCCTTCGAGAAAGAAGGACAGATCTTCAGAAGGCTGAACAGTGCAATGTGCTTGGGTGCTCTTGTAAACATGGGGACACTGGGAATCTAAGTGTTCAGCAAGGGTCTGATGAACACTTAGAGCGTCCCTCAACACATCCCTGCAGATCTCTTCATCTGGAGGCTGGGTATATGCATGTCCCTGATCACCAAGGCTCCCTGTTATTCAATGAATTGTTTCATTCTGGATTTCTATTGAGGTAAATTCTGAGTCTGTAGCACTTCCATAGCAATGAGTTTGAGCTAGCCTACCTCATTTTTTGTTTGTTTGTTTGTTTGTTGAGACAGGGTTTCTCTAGCTTTGGAGACTATCCTGGAACTTGCCCTATAGACCAGGCTGGCCCTGAACTCACAGAGATCCACCTGTCTCTGCTTTCCGAGTGCTGAGATTCAAGGCATGCACCACCACTGCCTGGCAGCCTACCTTGATTTTTACAAGTGTGAGTAAAACACTTTTCTGTAAAAGGAAGAGTTGTGGGCAAGCTATGTTTCTTTCTTGATGCACTAGCAATAATAACTTACAAGGATAATTCAAATTATGGTAATTACTGAACACAGAATTTTTTTTTACTTCAGTTTTGTTGTCATCTAAGTGTCTATGTCTAGGTATTAAAAAAATACATTGCAAAAGCTCCAATGTTCTCTGGTTTCATAGGCCTAAAAGGACAAGATCATATTCCTTAATCCCATTGTTTACCATTTTATGTAGCACTTTAATTTTTTATTGTCTTCATGCCTTCTGACCTTCAAAGTGAAACATACAATGACTGCCTCTGCCTGCTGCATCAACAGGGTTTGGGGCTCATATGTTTTCTGGGTGTTCTTGATCATATATGAAGATCCTTCCTTAGACCTCTGCTCCATCATGGTAAGCCAGCACCTCTACCCTTAGGTCCCGCCCTACAACAAGCCCTGAAACTGAAGCTTGGCACAGGCAAGGTGTAGATCTCTGAGACAGAGCAAACTCCAAGTAGACATGTCACATATTTACAGCTTTAGTTGATAAGGTTAGCCTAAATAAACTTTTGATACATTGTGTGTGCACTGGACATAGTGAGGTTTTTCCAAAAACATGATAGAACCCCTGCATGTATGTATGTATGTGTTTCCAGTACCAAATGTGATAACAAATATACTAGCTTTTGCCCGCCTTGACTCCCTCCCCCACTTTCTATCTAAAAATCACAGTTATTTCCCTCTGTGTGTGTTTATATTAAGAACATATACGACTTTGGTAGAGAATGCTACTTAGCATTCTATAACTGATTTTCTCAGTAAGTGTGGATGGAAACTGTGCACAAAAGCAAACAAGAATGTCCTCCATTTCTGTTAATTAGGGACAGTGGCCTCTAAGGATTTGGGGAGAGGAAGATTGTTGTATCCACCTTTGAAACCGATATTTAATCATCCACTCCATTTCATCAGGAAAAAGGAATGCACTCTGGGAAAATAGTCTCCCAACAGTCATAACGTACATGCATGGCAAAACAAAATACCTGCCTCATACAGGTACTGGAGCTCTGAGAGGCAGACAGGAGAATGAAGCCCATCCAGGGGTGGCCAGAAGAAATGAAGACCACATCTCTTTCAATTATCAGTGAAAATGAAGGCACCAGTCCATGTCATGTTTGGGAAGAAAGAAAATTCTCGGGTTAATTCATCTCCAAGCGTGTCTAAAGGTGGGAGGGCTCGTAGGGAGAAAGCACTCAAAATTCATTTCCCGTGAGCTGTGGGTTTTATGCACATTTGCCATCCGAAGAGCCCGATTTTTTTTTTTTCTTGAAGGGGACATACAAGCAACACTTAATTTTGAGCCCTTGAAGGACTGCCTTTTTGTTAAAAAGCTAACTCTGCCTCTCTCTTCTCTCCCTCCCTCCCTCCCTTTTTCTCTTTCCTCTGTCTCTCTGTCAATGTCTCTGTCTCTCTCTCCCCTTAAAGGAACAGGGTGGGGTCCAAGCAGGAGCCCGGGGAGTGGAGTTGTGAATGTTAATATTTTGTAGCCCTGACACGGGAGCCTCTGAACTATTCTTATCCCCTTATTCAAAGCAAGGTGCGCTGAATGAAGTATGTGAAGCCATGCATTAATGGCTTTAATTAAGTTAAGGTATGAATTTTACATAAATCAGATTAACATTATATGTCATGATGGAATTTAAAACACTTCGAGTCCGTGCATTTTTTTAATTTTTGCGTGTTCTAATTTAATGCTCGCAAAGGAATTGCATGTCTTAAGCCCACTTCTGCATCTGGACAGATCCAAGAAAAACCCACCACGATCTTGGATCTTGTTTTAAGAGTGTTTTCCTTCATCAGAAACCCTGCTTTCGATCCGGCTTCCGGCATTCTTTCCTATGGTTTTTTTTTTTTTTTTTTCTTTTGCTAAGCTTTAGCGTGCACATGTATGCATGCATACATATGGGAAGGATACTCATCCCATTCCATCTTATGGGCTCCGCAATTGTCCAATGATGAATGATACCAAGGAGATAACATAGACAAATGAACCAACGTTGCATCTTGAAAGTGAGTCCTTCTGAAGGCACTGAGTCTTAGGGACCGGTGGCCTGGGGTTGAGCTCCCCACTTTGAAGGGTGACAGGGGACCTGCGAGCAAGGCGCGGAGTGCCCCGCAGCCTAGGTGGATGCAGAACGCATTCCAGCTAGCACATTCCCCTAGTTCTTCGCAGGAACTTCTCTGTCTCTTCCCCTCCCATGGGCACTCTCCATCCTGGCCCGACTCCCACCCAGTTCTCATTTTCTCAGCTCCCCTCCCACAGCGTTGACGGAATGGAGTGCCCTTCCCATTGGCCCGAGCGTCGCTCCCCAAGGTGGCACTGGCCTCCTGATTGGCTGGTCACTCCCGACCCCCCGCCCATCCCCGCACTCGGGGGGCCGGGCGCCCCGCCCTCGCCCCCGCCCGCCG